AAAACTGCTGAGGCAGGGAGCTTAGTCACAATTCCTTGATGTCCACAAAGCTTCTATTTGCCTAAGATTTTACAGCTTTGCCTTGGCTTTACCATTTTCTTCCTTCCCTGAGCATCTAACACACTTGTGTATTCTTTTCCAATGCCTGACTTTTAAAACAAATACTAGAACTTGCATGACAATTAAAAGTCACTGAGTTGAAAACGGAAAAGGAAGAAATTAGTCTACTTGGAGTCATTGAATATACAAAAGGGAAAGAATAGTGTGTAAGTTGGGATTCTGTGTTTGTCTTTTCTAAAGGGTAAAGCACCACATGCATCTTACCTGATATGAATGATTACTCATTAGGAAGACCTCAGAATCACAACTCTGTGCATCATTTGTCGAGTGTGGCATAAAATAAAATTCAGTGTCCCTTTCTAAAAAACAAAAAGAAGACTTTTAAGGAGGTGATAAAGGGCACTAAATCAGCCTTGTGACCTCCCTGAGCATAGGTGCTTATGTGACTGGGTAACACAAGGAAGAAGCCAGCTTGACAGAATTCTTTCAGGAGTTAGCAACCATTGAGAGGGGAGGGACTAGACCTGATTAAGGAGGCAGAGTCTCTCCAATCCAATGGCAGGCACAGCTTGTTTCCAGGGAAACCTGGGGACTTTAGTTAAAATGCAAGCAGGGGATAAATCCCAATGATGACTTGGGTGACCTGCTGAGTAATGAGCTATGCCTCATCACTTGCTTGAGACAGCTAACACCTACTGTGTAATGCATGCAGACTGGTCTCTGGGTTAGAGACAGAAGAGCACTCAAAGGATTATTGCTGTGATCTCTTGTGTTACAATTTCAAAGAAATCTAGATAGTATAGAGATAAAGAATCAGAAAGAATGCTTATTTAGGGAAGTTTCTTTATATATTGAATAACAAAAGAAATTAAATAATCAATGTATATTAATGATTCTTCTGTTATTTTGGTATGTTTACATTATTGAAACCACTTCTAAAGTTTGACTTGGTTAATCACACATATCATCAGTGCTTTAATCTATCCCGGGGTCTATTATCTATATAGTCTAGATGAAGCAGCTAGGTTCAATAAAAGACAGATAATCCAATATATTCATGGTTTGATAGGTCAGAGGTAAAGTGCTTTCACCTTCTGAGGATTCCCTATGTACCAGACCAGACATGGTTTTAAATGATTTCTATATTATTGATTCTTAGTAAGAATTCAACCAAAATGGCCACATACCTTTCCCAGGCTAATTAACGCAACAAAAGACTTCCCATTAGCAAATTTAGACAACAGAACTTCACTGTAGCATCTTTTAACTCTGCCTTCTCTATGGCTAACTCTCCAAGAAAGTTTCTTGCATAGTAGGAGGAATGTCTCTAGCAAAGTTATGTGGAAGAATTTAATACACTGATGAAGGAAACACATGCTGTGGCCTAGTCCCTGGCCCTGACTATTTTATTGTCCTACTTCTGTGTGAGCACAGAGGCAAGGATGCTGTTATGGGAGGTCTCCATTGAGCTGGTGAACAGCAGAGGCATCCTTTACTATGTAGACTGAGAATAGAAGACATGTTCTTTCCAAAAGCTACTTGTTGATATTAATGCAAGGAGGGAAAATGGTTCAATATAAGTTGTAGTAACAGACACTCACTGTGAAAGTATAGGCTGTGTCCACACAAGCCAAGTGAAGCTAGAGAAAAAGTGAGAGACAGCATCACTGTGACTCTACTGTGGGCATGACTCTTTCCAAAGGAAAAAAAAAGGTTTTATAATAGTAAATACTTTCAAAGAAAGCCTTTCTCAGTAGTCCTAAAAGGAAGATATCTGATAATCATATTTTCTTCAAAGGGAATGATACAGCGATGGCTTTATGTGGATGTCAGTACTGGGAAACTTTATGGCCTTTCTGGAATGTATATCTCTCAATGCTTAACATTTTAATGTGAACACTGGACCTAAAAACCCATAAATTTTAGACCATGGACACTTGAGACTATTTATCTTTTCATCCTTACAGTGTTACTCACTGAATCCTTTGGATGTCAGATAACCAAAATTTACTTTATTTTAACATGAGTTATACAGCCTGAGATACTGTATATTTTCTGTGCACTCACCATACCAGATAAATTTTTAAAAATCTAAAATAAAAAAAAAAACAAAAGACATCTGATAATCTATGCTTTGTTTTGAATGAGTCAAGCACATGCTCTTCATCATATTTTATGAGTCAGTTATATAGTTTTCCATGTTTTGGATAGACTATCTCTACCAAGAACCTTTTAGAAGAGACTAATGATTCATACAAAACTTGCTTTCATAGTACATTAACATATTAGAGGCTTCTGACTTGTCTAAGAACTTGTCTAAGAAATTATTTCTCTTTTATATTGAAAAGTGGATATTGTACACGTGTTTTGTAAACACATGGCCGTTTGATATGTATATACATTATGGAATGGCTAAAGCAATCTAACTATTTGAACCTTTCACAGATGTGTTATATCTTTGAGGGATACTGCAATCATGATATACTTTTGTGAAGGAAGTCTCCACTGCTGTGGAGAAGGCTAGGATGCTAATAATCCTTACACATTAAAGTAAGGAGCAAGAAAAAGTTGTAACATCTATCATAACATAATGTTAATCAAGTTGGATACTCTCACTCTTTCCCTGATTTTTCTTAGCCCTTTAAGACTGTTGACTCACAAATATAACAGGAGCATCTGGATAAATGTATGTGTACTAAGAGACAGAGACAGACAGACAAACAGACAGAGAGAAAGAGAGAGAGAGAGAGAGAGAGAGAGAGAGAGAGAGAGAGAGAGAGAGAGAAGGAGGAGGAGGAAGAGGAGGAGGAGGAGAAGGGAGGGAGGGAGGGAGGGAGGGAGGGAGGGGGAGGGGGAAGGGAG